TGGTGTCAGGTCCTGCCCTTCAGCATGGACCAACGGGGCTGGGGAAGCAAGTCCAGAGGGATGGGGTACCCTCAGCTCCCCACCTTGGGGATGACCCCTCCTTAGGAGGTTCCCTCATACTTACTTGTAGAGGCAGGGGGGGGGGTGGGGGGGGCCGGTACAGCACGGCAATGTTCACCAGGCGCTGCACGATGAGTTGTGGCTGGAAGAGATACTGGCACTCCTCGTAGAGCCCCTGCACCGGTGCAGGACAATCAACATGAGGCAGGGGACACAGGACAGCATCCCCAGGCTGGTCACCTGCCTCGGGCACTGCCAGCCCAGAGCAGTCAGACCTCAGCAGAGCCCTGTAGTGAGACCTGCTGCTCTACAGTTTCCCCCCAACCCAAGCCCTTCACCTTGACAGAGATCTTGCCCTCATCTTTGGGAAGGTGGGCAGCCAGGAACCAGTCCCCAGGCAGGGGGCTGGTGACGTTGAACACCCCTGTGGTGCGGTTGGGCAGGGTCCAGGTAAGGGTCAGTGCGAAGGAGCCGGGGACAGCCGTGTCCCTGGGGAAGTGCGTGTGCAGCGGGTTAATGACGGAGGGAGCCCCTGAGCGAAAATACCTGCAGGAGACACGGCAGTTAGTAGGGTACAGGCTGGGCATCAGGGAGGGGTCAGCATGTCCTACACATTGGGGTCTGTGCTCTGTGCTAAAAGGCATTATGGGAAGCCATCTCTAAGCTGGGACCTCACTGGAGACCATCAGCTTTGCTAGGTGGGTGTTCAAGAAAAACTGTTCACATACAAAATGCACAAAAGAGCGTAGCCTGCAACAGTCCTGGGAAGATGAATCACAAGGAGTGAGTGTGCATGTGTGTGTGTGTGCATGTACATGAATATATGCATGCTGAGGGGAAATAACGGAAGATCGGCAAAGAGGATTGTAAAGATGCTCAAGCGACTTGCAGATGGGGTGCTGGAGAACATATATGTCATTGTGATTGTTTTCTGTCCTTGTGTTTTAGACCAGTAGAATATCTGTTCTCAGATAACGCAGGTCTGTGATAGACTCAGAGTCACCTTATTGAACATGCTCGAGATTCCCGTCCTGCTGCGGGAGAGATCAAAGCACAATGGAAAGTTACACCTGCAAAAATGCCTGATACACAAGTTGAAGCAACAGGTTCAAAAACTTTTTTTGCTTTTCAGCAAAAACTGAGCTTTGCTGGTGCCTGCATTCTCACTCATGTGCCTCCACTCCGGTGCTGCTGTGCAGATCTCCTGGCATTCACGAGGTAACAAAAATAAGTTATTCTTTGCACCCCATTCATTGCTTTGTGGTTGTTTCTGTGTCCCACCTGTGTCAGTTCATACATCACCATGTTCCAGTATTTAAAGGGTGGCTGCAAAGAAGATGGAGACTCCCTTTTTACAAGGAGTCACTTGAAAAGATGAGGGGTAATAGGTACAAGTTACTTCTGGGGAGGTTCTGACAGGACACAAAAGGAAAATCTTTCACAATAAGAACAATCAGTCACAGGAATAATCTCCCAGGTCCCTTCCAACCTGGTCTTCTATGGTTCTGTGATTCTGCTTACACGGGCATGTGCAAGCTAGAAGCAGACAAGAGCAGGAGGGCTCCAGGGCAAGTTCAGGCAGGAGACAGCAGAGGCAGGTGGAGCCAGGTAGGAAGGGAACAGGCAGGGCAGGCTGCTTACTCACACAGTGATGCTACGGTCTGGGCATTGATCCCCAAAAGTGCCACCCTGCTCCTTGAAGGTGATGAGGTTCCAGACGGCAATGACGGTGTCCTCAGGGATGTGGAAGTGGAAGAGCTCAATGCTGGCAAAGGAGCGGAAGGGGCTGAGCTTGCGTGGTGTGCGGGTGAAGTAGTCAGTCACAAAGAGCCCATCTGCAGAAGAGACGCAACAGACTCTCAGGGGGATGGAAGATGGAGGGGGAGGTGGGGTGTAGCATCCCTCCTGGGACAGATCCACACATCCAGGCTCTGAACATGTCCCAAAGCCAGCAGCCTGGAGGCAGGAGGCACTGGGGCTGTGCCGTTTCAGTGAGTCTCTAGGGCTGGTGTCAGCCCAGCTGCATCTCCCAGCCCTGGCACAGTCTGCGTCTTGCCTTGTTCAGCACTGCCTCGAGCGCAGTTCCGCACACTGTGAGCACTCATCCTCCAGCGCCTTCAAAGCCGTCAGCCCTGTCTGCTCAGGCTCTATGCAGGTGCAGTCCACCTCTTTCAACTCAGCCTCCTCTTCAATGAGGACCTGCTGCCTGCATTTTACATGTAATGAAGGGATATACCTCACAGCTCCAGCCATGCCTCAACAGGCCAGCTCCCATGGGGACATAGATTCCACCCACCTCTGCCTGCCAAGGAAGCTCCGCACAGAGCCCATCATAAACAACAGAGTCCTGCCCTAGAGCCATGAGAAGAAGGAGCAGGCAGTGCACTTCCCTCACAGCCCCGCAGCTCTCCTGTGGTTTGCGGAGGAGGAATGGCACACATATGTGTGCACATATGCACGTGTGGGCGTTGTCTGCGGGCACAGCAAACCGGAGGCATGCACACCTACATGCATGGATGTACATGGCTGTGCACAGCCCTGTCGCAGCAAGACACTTCTTGCAAGCCCAGAGCAGGCACTGAAGCCACCTCCACCTGAAAAACTGTCCGACAGTTTGATTTCCAGGGATTTCCAGAAGCCCCAGTGGCTGAGGGGCAGCCACTTGCTCAGCACAGTAGAGACAAAGGAGACCTGGTCTCCAGTCAACAGCTGTAGCTTCACTCCACCATTGTCACAAATCCCCAGAGACAGACTGGGAGACCCATCTGCCATTCCCCAGAGACGCACCAAGGATAAGATGAAACTCCATATAAGCTGCCAGGAGGAAAATTCCAGCACAGGAGCTGAAAGCAGGGCTGTGGCCAGGACTCGTCCAGTGGCAAGTGGAATAAACTGAGAAGAAGGGCTGGGATTGCGCACATGTGCTTGTGTGCACGTGCGTTTCGTTGCATGTGTGCAGCACCAGCCGGCTGTACGCTGACATGCATCTGCTCCCTTGCCTGGAACAAAGGCAGCTCCCTCTTCCCTTCTCTTCCAGCTGACACAAGGCACGCATGAAATACCTGTCTCAGTGCAAGGGCACCCAATCCCAATTTCCACCCAACCCCTATTCCCCTCCCATGAACCACCAAGCCACTCCACAGCAACACTCCCCATGTGGAGACAGTGACCTGCAAGGGACCACAGGGAGAAGGGATTGTTGAACGCAACTCGAGGAAATGGCAAGGCAGGGGGAAGCATTCAGAGCTCTCCCTTCCTAACGTGGTTCCCCCCACACCCTCTCGCCTGTGAGCCGGCTGCAGGCAGAATCACAGTCAAAAAACCTGTGGCGGTGTGGCCAGAGCACAGGGAGGGCTGATGGAGCAGGATATCCTCTCCATGGAAGAGGAGGAGGAGAAGGAGGAAAGCGAGTGTCCCTCTGCCTTAGACCTGCGGCCGGAGACGGGGGACTCCCTTACCCCGGGACCCGCTGTCCTCGGTTGCA